GAGCAGGAAGAAGGTGGGAGAGGGCTGGAGTTGAGGGGCGGGAGGGCGAGGGGAAATAGAACAGCGCTTGGGGGAAAATCCCTATTGGAGCTCAGCTCAAGCTCCCCTAACGTCAGCCACTCGGCAAGGTGCAGTCAGGCATCCCTGGGAGATAGCAAAGGGGTGGAATGAGGGGACCACAGGGCAGGTTCTGTAGCCCCGTCGGGCCAGAGCACAGCATGCACAGAAAGAAACTAAGAAATAAAGCCCAAAGCTTGATTTGCAGCCAGGTATGTAGTGAGAGTCCTTGAATATCATGCCAAAGAATTTAAAGTGGGCAGAAACGGGGCGGGAGTCTGTCCTTGAAAGATGAACGTGCGCCAGGTAGGACTGTTGAAAGGTTTTCCCACTCAGAACCAAAGCGTGCACCCTGGGGCAGAAAGAAGTGGGGAAGGGGATCAGAGGAGAGTTCTGGGCTAGCAGAGCAGGTAGAAAACTGGAGGGTGGAGGTCCCGGGGGCAGACACGCACAGAGGGGCACACTGAGCACCCGGGAGAGGCTCGGCCTCGGCTGACCCCTGAGCGCTGGGCACAGCAGGGATGCTCGCCAGGCCTAGAGGATGAGCTGAGGCTGGAAGATGGAAGACCTTTTGCTGCTGTCCGCAAAGTTTGGAGTTGATGTTGAACAGGTTAACTGTCTATCAGATTTAGAACTGACGCGCTTCACATGAATGTAACAGAATTCAGAGACTCTAAAATATATTGTTCCTAACGTCCATGGTATGATGGCGTGTTCTGGGCCCCGTGAGATCAGACAGGCCCCACACGAGGGCTGGCCCGTGACCGGGGAAATGTGCCAGCTTCTGGGGCAGAGCGTTCATTGTCACAGAGACCCTTCTGAGGTTGGGTTTCCCCTGCTGCTGTGACCAGTGACGTTTGTCAGGCTAGGTCCCCAAGCCACAGCGATGACTAGAGCCCCCGCCCACCTGCCACAGGCACGGAGCACGCGAGAGAGACACCTTTGCTTTAACTCACTCACTGCTTTGAGGTTTTTGATTTTGGAGACTGGTTGCTATTGCAACCCAACCGAGCCTGCACTGATTAACCAAGCTCCCTTCATCATATTGTAAAACTCTCCTCCAGTCTCAGTTTGTTTTCAAAACGCAACATGTGAGACCGAGAAGTGTCAGGCCATTTTAGTCCCAGTGGGAGCAGAGAGAGGGAGGGGCCACGGACAAACATCCCCAGGAAGAGAAAGAAAGCCGTGGGGCATCTGATGTTAGGAAAGCAAAATTCATTTGCTAGATCCTGAACTATTTGGAAAAAAAAAAATAGTACAAATTAAGCAAACAAAACAAGAGGCAATTATCAACGCTAAGAAAAACAAGCTAAGGAAAGTAATGTAATCACGGTCGCTGTGTGATTTGCCGAGAACTGTATGTGATCACCATGGTGTTAACGACAGCTGACTGATTCCACTGTGACGTGGCTGTTAAAGGGTGCCGGGGTGGGGGACGAAGGGGTGTCCGGGGAGGAGAGGCACCTTCCTATCACCCCTCGGTGACCAGCTGGCCACACCAAAACCATGTGGCCAGGACAACCACAGAGTGGGGACAATCTCTCAAAAAAGTTCCCAAACCAAGTCTTTTGTTTCCTTGTCATTAGTGATTATTTCTCCCATTTATTTGTGGTGATTACAGACTATTTATGTGGGGTGTTTTGACCACCACTTTTTATGTTTATAAGCTCCCTTGGCTGTTTTGAAAAAGTCGTTGCCTTTCTCAGAGTGTTCACTTTTCTTGTCTGGTGCAGCATAACCTGGGGGTTTGTCGGACACGCTGCATCCTGGCCGCTACACAGCTGTGTGGCGGCGCCTGCATTTTCCCAAAGTCCTCAGACGATGTGCCTGCACAGGGAAGCCTGGGGAGCCGCTTTAGACAGCAACTTTCAACTAGTGCGCTCAAGGATTTTTAAAATGGGCACTGACCTCTTTTCCCTTAGACTGTCAAATAAAAAATGACAACAGCCAACACAACAATAGCCACCCAATGTGAATGAATCAAAATTATATCTATTTTTTTTTTTTTTTTTGTCAGATAGGCAAGGAATGAATCTTTTGGTGTTGCAGCAGCATTTCGGGAATCAGTTTGTGGTGTCGCGAGGTGGGCCAGGCTGACGGTCGCTGCGCGGGGCAGCGGGCCCGGCACGCAGGGCGGGTGAGGGCGGCGGGCTCGGGGCCGGAGGCCAGGCAGCAGAGCTGGCGGGCGTCTTACCGTGTCCCAGCGCGAGGCCCGCTCTTCTTACAGGGGCACACGCAGCGCCATGAGCTCTGACTGCTGTTTCTAGGCACGATGTTGCAGCCCATGCAACGGGTCATCGCGGTTATGTCTTTATCACGAACGTGTTTATCAGTATAAGTGAATTCTCTTTACACACCTGACGCTGTTCTTACATTAAATTCCGTGTTTCTAAAGTTACCATTGCATCTCCTCCCTGCAGTGTTATCAGCCTTAGCGTTGCTTAAAACCCACCCTGGATTCCAGAAACGGACGGTCAGCTGGCCCCGGCTCTCAGCCTCGCAGGACATCAGGTACTTTGCTTTGCCTTCATAGATACTAGTTAAAATTTGCGAAAAGCTGTCAAAGAACTTGGTGGCTGGTGACAAAAAAGGTAATTTCTGCCCCTGGAGAGAGTCAGCGTGGTACTAATAGTGCCTGTGAAAGTGAGGTGCACACACAGCCGTTCGCAGTCTGCCCGCGGCGGGCGTGGGCCTGCTTCTGGATCAGCCAGCCGCGCTGCGGACTTCCCCCGCAAGGCTCGGTCTACGCGCCCAGCACGGTTTGCGCGGGGCTGGAGCCGGGCCTGGGCCTCATAGCCCATCAGTGTTGGTTCCTGAGAAATGCTTGGCTTTTAGTGACGTGACCAGACTGAGAAGGAACGAGCCACGTCAGGCTCCGAACAGTGCCCAGGACGAGCTTTCATTGTTTCTGGAAACTTAAATCATCGAATTCATACACAGTTAATGTTCCCTGACAAGTCCTATGTACTGGGTTCTTAATGATGTTTCCACTCATTGGCAAACGGCCCCCTGTGTGTCCACCGTAAATTGTGTCCTTAGAACACATCGCTTCTCTCTTAACTCACTTAAGTGCCTGCAAAACACAACTCGAACAAGAGTGAACAGCGGTTCACCTTGGCCTGCAGCGCTCTAATTTGGTGCGTTCGTACTGTAAACAGTATAATCAAGACATTCCTTAGAAACTCTTTCTGCCCTCACTGTTTCCCACGGACCGGGGGAGGCCCCGGAGAAGGCGGGGACCCCAGTGCGAGCAGCTTAAGGAGGTGAACGGGCTCCGGGTGCTGCTGCTGTTCCGATGGGTGCAGGAGGGGGAGGGGAAAGGGGCGAGTGTCCTGGACCATTCTTTCTTTTACTACTAAAACGTGTGCATTTGGCCTAGAGTTTAACGTACTCGAGAGTCGTGGCCTGTCAGAACAAACCCCATTTGGAAGTGGTTTTCGAGTGGCCCAGCGCGGGCCACACTCCCTGAAGGCCAGGCGTCCCCTCCCTCAGCTGACCGGCGAGGGAAGGAGGCCTGCTGTTAATAAAGTCCCTGTGAGGGCCCTTTCCCTGTGCCTGCTAATTGCCGCAGCGGGGGCGCCGGGCTTCCCTGTGGCTTCACTTCCCGGTCCAGGGGGAGTGTGGAGGGTGGTCACAGGCGCCTCACGGGGCCTCCAAGGCGCAAGGGCACGTTTCAGAGTCGATCCAGCCTACGCCGTGATGGCAGTGGTGCCCCAAGCCTCGAACGCTAATGAAATGGATCCGAATCCCAAGGTGACCACAGATAAAATTAGATGATCCAGACTGTGGGAAAGGACCCCTTGTTGAACTATTTTTTTTTTCTTGTTTTGGACAAACCCCTTGGAAAGAGCACCCTGAGACAGACAGGGCGGGGTTCCCCCAGAGCCTCGGACGCCAGGCAGGTGTCCTGTCAACCATCCTGGGGGCGGGGACTCAGGGAAATTCAGGGTGAGCGGCGCAGAGCCCTGCTCATCCCTCGCAGCCGGGCTGGAAGGGCCCGCGTCAGGCCCGTGAGGGGCCGGGGCCGCTCTGCTGTGGAGGCAGGCGGGGTGCGGGGGGGGCCAGGGGGGGCAGGCCGCCGGCCCCAGGGGCACCAACACTCTGCTGCCGTCAGCTGCAGCACGGAATGGGGGGGCTCCACAGTGGGTGGCGAGGGGGCTGGGGCGGGGCCGGCCTGGCCCTTCGGAGGGGAGAGACTGGTTGTCCCCTCCTGGAGGGTGTCCCAGGAGGATGGCCCGGTCCCAAGGGCCAGCAGCAGCAGCTGGGGCAGCCAGTGGAGGAGGCTGGACAGGAAGCCAGCCCCCCAGGCCCCGGCCCAGGGGCGGGGAGGGGGCGTGAAATCTCGGAACCGGTCCGAGAGGGGCCGCCTGCAGACAACTAGCCACATGCCCGAGCGTGGCCACAGAAAGGAAGCGTCACCTCATTCACAGACAAGAAGGAGCGGGGGCAGCGTCCCTCACAGGGTGAGTGCCCCGAGCAGCCTGTCCTGGATGGACATTTTCAAGGATTCAGTAAATAACACGAGCCTTTCTCCCTTCCAGTTTTTTCCCTAAAATGATGAATCCTACTACTTGGAAGATACCACATGTAAGTGGGCTTCTACTGTGATTTAAAAGGTAAAGAACTGGGAAGGTGGCGGCCGCGGGTACACAGACTCACCCTCACCTGCTGCGGCAGGTGCGGGCCTGCGTCGCAGCGGCGCCACCGCGGCGCACCCTGAGTCAGCCTGAGCGCCGCCGGCAGCCGAGGCTGTTCGCGGGCCAAGCCGCAGGGCGGCGTGCTGGTGGGACGTGTCAGGCGGCTTGGGACGGGACGCGCGGCCCACCCGTCCGCCTACGGAAACCCCTGCGCACCGGGAGCCAGCCCAGCCCGCTCCGTGAGCGTTGGCAAGCTGTCAGGACGCGCGCCCAGCAGGCAGCGGCGCGTCTGCGCCGCGCACTTACTCTTCATCGGGATGATGAGCTGCGGGATGACAGGGAGGACCTTGTTGCCGCCGTGCTCCAGCATGTCATGGACGCCCTGCCGGGCGAAGAACTCGTAGGGAAACGTCATCTCGCAGAGCCCGTCAAAAAACAGGGGCAGGTAGTGGTGGTAGTCCAGCTTCTCGATTTCCACCTGGAGGGACAGAGAGAGAGAAGGGCCCCGTGAGCCGGCGCAGGCCCAGAAGGCCGTCCGGCCCCGGAGGGCTCCGTTAACCAGCGCCTGGGTCACCGGGTGCTAAATTCGCCTGCGCTTCGGCGCGCCCTGCTTCAGCATTGCTATGACCGTCCGGTGAATGGTCCTAGGTCGTGTTCCTCGTCCTCCCTGTCATTATTAAATGCAGGCTGTCATGGTCTGAGCCCACGTGAACGTTGTTGTACCTCGCTTGTCCCTCATACCGTTTTCCTCTCTTCCCCTGGTGTCGCGTTTAAAGAGGGTCCCTTCTAACGAGCTGATAGCTGCGGCTGTTTGCCCCTCCCATTTGACATGGACGTTTTCAGAAAGCAAATGGGGAGTGCATGTGTGATTCTTACTTTCAGAAGTTTTGAAAGAGAAATAAAAGCAATATGAGAATGGATGAAGGGAGAGAGAAAAGGGGAAACGGTTGAGAGAGGGCACAACGGAATGCGAGCCTGGGAGAGAGGGCCTGAGGAGGAGGGCTGTCTGAGCGTCGGCCTCCCGGCTCGCTGGCCGCAGCGGCCCTGTCCCACCACGGACGGTCTTTGGTGAGTTCTTTTTCTGACCTGTGTATCAATTATTTGGCCTATCCCTTATCACTGCAGATCAGTTGCCTGAACAATGGAATAACAACTGGCCCGCAGACTTTGAGGTCACAGACTTCAAAAGCTATAGATACTGTTCCAACTGCTACAGGATGCAATTTTTATGAGTAGCTTTCTTTTCTCCTTGAATATCTCCTAGGGTTCCTTTATTATTATTGCAACATTGTTTCAGCTGATGAATTTGGCCTCTGCCCTGGGAAACCCTCTTACATTCCATTCACAACCAGGCGCTTTCGTGGGCATGATCCATAACATGCCTGATTTCTCTCTTGTGTACTTCTCTCTCTCCCCGAGAGGAGCTCCTTCCGGCTCCTGACCACGTTCACTGCTTTCTACGGCGAGCCCGTCGCCTCCTCAGCCACAGCCTCCCTTTCCAGCCCACTTCCCCGCCTCTCCTGCGGTCCCTTTCCCCAGTCGCCAACGACCTTCACTGTGTCCAGACCTCCAGGGCCTTTTCTGTTCCCATCTGCGCCACTCAGGGGACCTCGCGAAGCTGACTTTTCTCAGCCTCCTGACTCCACAGCGCCCAGACAAGGGGCCACCTTCGATCGCCTTCCTTCAAAGGCTGCGTTTTCTCTCTCAGCACACCGACAGCCCTGTCTCCCCACGGGTTCTTCCTTCGCCCATGTCCCCAGCCTTTGGTCGCTGTCAGCTTCACGCAAGCCTCTAGTGAGCCTCCCCGGACAACTGCGGCCGCCTCCAGACGCCTCCCCGCTCCCACATTTGCCCTCCTGCTTCCGTTACTCCCGTTCTCCACACGCGTGGGTCCTGGCTGAGCACCCCCAGGACCTCCCTGAGCGTCCCCAGCCCCTGTGCCTCCCATGTCCCCCTGCGAGCGCTGCTGTCTGGCGACTCGGTGCCTCCCGTTCCCCACCGACCCTGGCCCCCCAGAGTCCCCCTCCAAGACCGTCTTTGGATATGCTGTTCCCTTCCCTGAGATGCTGCGTCGCCGGCGCGGCTTTGAACTGCTGTCAGTGCAGGGAGGCCCTCTTCCCAGCACCCGCTGCACGGCCCGGCTTTCTCTGTAGCCCTCATCATTTATTCATCACGGCTCGCAAGGCCTGCTGTTCAAGGAGCTTGTCATTGCCTTGAGAGGTGCCTGGCCCGCCACAGGTGAGTGTTCAGCAAGCACAGGCTGAATTTCAATTCTGACCTTGTGGATCTGTCCTGTGTGAACTCTTTGGCAGGGCTCCCCAGCTGAGGAACAATGGCCGGGTGACCCGTGACCATCCCTGGACCGCGGCTGGGGCCCTGGCAGAGCGTGCAGAGGGCCCGGGTGGGCCCAAGGCCCTGCGGCGGGAGGGGTGCGTGCGCTTCAATACTGTCGTGCAGTCTGCAGACACGATGCCAGGCTTCTCCGCCAGGATCCCGGGGATCATGTGCATTCCAGGAATTCATGAGTATTTGATAGATTATCGCGATGGGCTTCCCGGTGTTCCGTTTACCCTCGTTTCACTGGAAACCACAGGACACGATCTTCTGTTCTGTTTACGTTCGCAGCCCGGGAAAGAAGAGTCTCTGTTCTCCTGGTGCCGTAGGAGGCGGGCTTATGCACGTCTGGCCGTGAATAATACATTGGGTAATAATAATATAAAATCTTTTTTTAAAGTCTGGATTAGGAGCCACTTAAGATTAGAAGCAAAAGGTGAAGAAGGGATCGATGAAGACTGACTGTGGGCCTGTGTGTGTCTTTGTCACATGGTGGCCGCTGCCTCTAGGATTCCCTGACGGCGCTGGCTTCCTCCGCGCACTTCGATTTACAAAGGGTCATTTTAGTTGTTTATTTGGTAATAAATCTTTTTAAAAAACATTTTTAAATTAATTTGCTGTTAACTAATTTTTAAGCAAATGCTACACTTTACATGTCTTTAGTATTACCATGAACAGTACATTTCAAACTTTATAAAATCTGGAGACCTTCATTTAAAATTTATACCAAAAAATCCAGAATGAAAAGAAAGCTACGTGTAGCAGGGGCATCCAACCCACAGCCCATGGGCGGCCTGTGGCCCCACGTGGCTGTGAGTGTGACCCAACACAAAATCGTGAATTTACTTAAAACCTTTTCTTTGCTTATTAGTCTTCGGTAGTGTTTGTGTATTTACTGTGCAGCCCAGGACAACTCTTCTTCCAGGGTGGCCCAGAGACGCGACGAGGCTGGATGTCCCTGGCTGTGGCAGGACCCTGAACAGGGGCTGTTCTAGACGTGGCAGCCAAAATTGAGGGGTGACAGGCTGGTGGATGACAACTTGGACTATTCCAAGTCACTATTTTAAAAGCATCAAGTACTTTCATCATAGAATCTCTCCTTTAAAAATAGGTCTTATAACTTTTTAAAGATCACGTAGTACCTACAAGGTGATCTCTAAATCTTACAGTGACTTTTGGTCAAAAACAATAAAACTCTTAACTTGACCTAGGCTATCAAATATAACATTTCATCCCCATAACAAAAGTCTAAGGTCATAATGTCATATTGAAAGGTCAGAAATGCAATGAGATTAATGGTTTTCATAAAAAAAAAACAAACCCTCAAATCAGAAGCTTACTCTTACATTTTTCATATCCTTGCTTCAATTAGCACATAAAATCCCATTAGGAATCCCTGTTATCATGACTCTTAGAAGGATTCCCAGGGCCTTTCTTAGAGTTGCAATAAAAAAAGCATGCTTATCTATAAATATGCAATGGTCCCATTTGGACTACTTATGACAGTCATAGACAAAAACTGTAACTCGTTGTTTTTCATCTGCTGAGGCGGCGATGGTTTTATTCCAGGAGGCCTTACAGGTGACGCCGGCCTCCAGCACCGTCTGCAGAGGGTACGTGACAGATTTCAAACACACGTGCACAGCTCTTTGTCTAACGTGCACAGATATGATTGAGATGAATAACTGGAAATAATTTGTCTTTCTACATTTTCTCAGTGATACTGAATACACAGCTAAGATCATGTAATAGTGCATGAGATTTTTTTTTTTTTTAGTCCCAAAACATGACTTTTTAACATACAGAAAAAAAAATCCTCTTTAGTGTCAAAACGAGAGACTTCAGGCAGGGTAATGGGCCAGGCTGTTGTGGATCCTCAAACCGCTACTGAGCATAAAAACCACCAAGTGTGATTGATGGAAAGCTGAGGTCGGAAACCCGCAGCTGCTAGGGATGAAGGCAGAGCCCAGGGTCCTTGCGTGAGCTGGGGGTGATGCCATGTGACCCCAAGGAGGCTCAGCTACAGATTGGAGACCGCGCCTGAGGTATGGAGGCCTCAGGAGTTCGGAAAAAGAAGGAATTTGGCAGGAGGCGGGGGTTAAATTAAAGTCCTTCGTACAGCTAGTTCCCTTGAAGGCCTGTCCCACCAGCAAACAGGGGACCGGAGAGCCTCTTCCCGGGATCCGGTAGAAACAGGGAGAGAGGCTGATGTTTGACGAAGCTTCCAGTGGGGAAACCCTGCCCAGGCACAGGAACCCGCCGCAAATCTAGCGTCAAGGAAGTCAGACTGTGGAAAAGTAACTTGCGTTGCTTTGTAATGCATCGTTAACACGTGCATGACCTGGGTTGGACCCCCACTGCAGCTGACCGATCACCGGGGTAACGGAGTCACCGCGAGGGGACACAGCAGACCCAGGTGCCTGGGGATGGGTTCTGAAGCTAGCAACCCCAAAGAGCAGAGTAAAACCTGAAAAGAAATGTTTTTGGAGCATTTGAAAACATAGAAGACTATTTTACTTTAAAAAGAACCAAATAGGACCCCCAGAAAATGATGCCAGCGTTGACTTAAAAATCCAGTCGCTGGTGTGACAGGTAGACCGGCCGCCGCTGAGAGAGCTTTGGGGCCCAGGCGACAGAACCGAGAGGCTGCACGGGGAGGCAGGGCCCCAGGGCGGGCGGCAGGGACGCCCTGCCTGGGAGGCTCCCTCGCGGGGCTCCAGGGAGGACAGACGGCAGGCGAGGGCAGCACGTGCAGAGGCCGCGGTTCAGAATCTGCCAAAACTGCAGAAAGGTGTGGGCCTTCGGAGAGAAGACGGTCATCTCCGGAAAACAGCGAGACTCCTGGGTCGAGGGAAAGGTTTAGAAGCAAGTAAAACCCAAAGACAGATGACGCACCAAAGGTCAAGCTTAGACTGAACTTACATTTCTCATTCACAGAATAGAGGCCAGGAGGCGGGCTGGCGGCCCCTCAACACGCAGGAGGAACGGCAACAGCTAACCTCCAACGCGACGCTCCGCGGAACCACCAGGCGAAAAGGGGGCCAGCTCGGGCGCCGTCTGTCACCAAGACCGGGGGGCTTTGTTTTGCGCCCCCCGCCCCAGCCCCCACGGATCACTGTCCTTAGCAAGGGATAACATTTATTA